AAAAATAATTTTTTTAAAATTAAAAAGTTTTTATTAAGTTAGAGTCTGTTGGGCTTCTAAGTAAAGTTATAAAAGAGGTGGTATTTGCAATGATGCTAAAGATGAAGGTGCTTGTAATGATGATACTTGTGGCGATACTGAGGACAAGGGTAATGCTGAAGTAGATTGGCTTTTTTTTGACTGATATACAAATAATGGATGCATAGGTGGTTCAGTTGGTGATGCCATTGCTTTGTTCTTTATAAAAAAATAATAAATATATTATTAGTTATATATATATTTTTTAAAAAAATCAATTTTATAAATTCCTCTTACAATTTCGAATGCCCAAACTGAAAGCATCATGAACATAATTTCAATATGATTTTCTTTAGCACCGTCTTTGTTCAAACAGGGTCGATTATGAATTAAGCAATGATTCGCATTACGAATGTCTAAAACATTCTTTGCTATTAATGATTCAGTTGGTGATAAATTTGAAGCTCTAGATATAGAATTGCTACTTTTAAAATTCGAAGTATTGTTATTATCTGAATTATTATCCAACTCAAGATCCTAAATATACAATATATAATTTATAGTAAGTATTATAGTAATAATGAATATGTATATTAAAGCATACTAAAATGTGTTACAAGGATGGCAGCGCAGCTCTCCTGAACTACGAATCAGATTTCAAGATTAGGTTAATGTAATACAATCAAGAAGATATAAAGCAAATGTTCGTTTTGCTAAAAATCGCTCATAACTCAAAAATCAGCATAAGAGACCACCTCTTGTGCTCTAACAAAAAGCTTTGTTGGACAATTTTACTATATATAATACTCTTTTTAAGATTCTAACCCTGACTCTAATCCTAACCTTACCGAATTTTAAGAATTTTGTCTGCGCCACCAACATTGTATACATTTTCGGTATGTTATTAGTATTAATACTTACATTTTGTTTCAAATTTGAAGCAATGAATGTTATAAAAAAAACCATATCAATATTTTTAGATGTATATTTCCAGTAATCGGCTTGAAATTTTTTAAAGTCATGATCATCGACTAATTGAGTACCTGCTCCTGTAGCCTTTTCAGGCTTAAATGCAACATGGTAATTGCTTGATTCGATTGGTTTTCTTTTTGTTAAAGCTTCAATATTTATGTGAATATCTAAAAGCAATTCGTCAACTGTAGATATTCTAGATGTATACCACTTTGCCGAAAGAGTTGTACCATTCTCTAACTTAATAAAAATTCTATAATTATATTCATATTCATTATTGTCGTCAGATAAAGACTCATTGATACTATGATCTTCATAATCATTACTATAATTTTCAGTAAATTCTAACTCATCTTTTTTTTCAATACCATTATTAGCTGAAATGGTAAGATCGTATAATTTGACCCCTGAAAGGCTATCAACATTCATTACTGTGGAACCTAATATTGCTTTGGACTTTTTCGCCTTCGAAGATAATCTTAATAACATACTGTTGCACTGAGAACATAACAAAAAATTAAAAGTTTCCTTTGAGCTTAGTGAGTAATTGTAAAGTTCTATTTTTTGATGAACATATTCCACTTGTTCTTTTATCCAGTTTGGTTTAAATGCCCGTGTAAATGCATATTTGACAATATCAGTTCGAT